TGTGGCGGAATAAACCATAGATAAGAAGTTGCATTGAGATAAATCGGAATCGTTACGAATGTATCAACGTCTGAAGTTACTCCTCACTTTTGTTCTTAAGTGTATGACATGTTAAGATCCATTGTCATTATTAGGGACGCCTATCGCTGCAAATTATGCTTTACTTTCATGTAACATAATGTTATAATACTTCTGCTTTCGCTTCCCCTATAGTTGCTTGTTTTAGCAATAAATTCAGTAGGGCAATGTATTGTTGCCGATTTCAGCTGTAGCATAACCAAAAGAAGGTTATTTTATTGATAACCTCATCCTCAGTGTTTATGAACGTGATATAAAATTAATGATTTCTTCAGAGCACGTCGAACTACCTAGCTCGTCGATTTGGGGTCCGGGCAGCTATGCCTGGTTTTATTGCGAAGAAACTATGTCCTCAACTAGAAGTCGTTCCAGGAAATTTTGACAAGTATCGGAGAGAAAGTATGGTGGGTATTTCATAATTTTTGTGCGAAAATTTCGGCATATTTTAGTTTTTCACATACTTTCCTTATCGGATTTCTTTAATGTGACCCGTTTAACCCATAGCGCCCATTATGGACACTATAGTGCCCATACACGTCTGGACCAAAGGACGGTATGGACGCTGAAGTGTCCGTTTTCTGTTTAGTTTGTTCCAAAATGTTTTTATCGTGCTATATTTATTCACTCTTAGCTAATCGAAAGCGGATAAAAATAATAAGGTGGGTCCGGAAAAACATTCTCTGCACTTAATAATTTACAAAGATTTTTTTTTGAAAAAGTTCATCAGCCGATACCTAGATTGGCAACTAAATGTTATATCATTTCTTTCACTACGGTTTTTGTATGATATGTGATGATATAATAACACCGAAAGAGACTCAACATTGGGTGCAGAATACTTCCAATTGCTGATAGCTATGAATTTCCATAATGGACTATAGCAGCACACAATAGACAGTAGCGTACATATCAGTTGCACCCATACAACGATAGAATAGAGCCTTTTCTAAAGTTCTATTGTGTTCATAAACCCTAAAGCACTCCAGTTAGTGCGTGGTAATTATTTTTCATTGTCAAAAGATGAGAAACTTCGCAGTCCACAAAAAATTGCTCGTGTTCCATTCGGAAGGGCACGTTTAACGACATGCATTCATGTTTTACAGCATATAAATTTATAAAACATTGATAACTTTAGAAGTTCGAGGCGATTTTCTCTGATTATGACGAGGACTTGTCAATGGGATCTTTAGATGAGGCATATCTCGATATAACGGCCTTTGTAGCGGCGAAATCAAAACCCAGTGAGTTAATATTTTTGGGTTGTAGTTCAGAAAATTTAGTGATTTTTCTCGCAATAGATAAATTTACGAGTAAAATAAGACGAACTTTGCGTCCTATGTTAAGTATTCTCTAGAACATATGAAAACAAAGGAAAAGTGGTCGAAAATCACGCTATTGGTTAACTGTAAGCTGTTGTGGTTTGTCTAGTTTGAAAATGGCTGTCCTATTCTGAAAGATGAGAGCAGACGCGTGGTTAGAAATTCATACCGAGAAAAGTTGAATTTTGAATTGCATAATTATTTTCTTCTCTTTATGTGGAATGTAATTCAGGAGATGCTGCTTGGAACTAACTAGCGTTCTGAGCTGTATAAAATGAACAAGATTATATCATCGAAACTGAATCGTTCATCTCAAAAAGCGATAATTTAGGAGTCAGCGGCGTCAGCATCCTCATTAAAACGAGTTTGTCTGTGAACAACGGCTTTCTTGACAACTGAAAGCCGAACCCGGACACTTAAGGTTGAAGAGATGTAGATTAGTATAGGTTATGATAGTCTCCGTTATATACGACCTCGCACGAAGCTGTGACGAAAAGTTGGAAGCGATATATACATATATATTAAAGGATAGAAAGGTAAAGCCCTCGGCGTTGATCAATTCCTGAGAGATGTGCCATGCATTCGACTCCACTGGAAGTGATTAAACGCATATGTGGCCTTTACAATGACTCACGGTGGCCTACGATGTATCGAACCAGCGCTGCTATCTTTCCAGACAAGTCGGGTACCAATTTGCCGATCCCGGAGGTATGGAAGGCTTGGTGGGCATGCGGCCTGGGGATCGATCCCATGTGAGTTGCTGGGCGTCCTTGACCACTGCGCTAAACGCGCTCCTATATATATATATATACATATATATATATATGCGTGTATATATATGTATATATGTGAGGAGTTATACACAGGAAACTACACCCTTCTTAAGGTCGTCATTCGCAATTTAAACGCTTGAATTGAACTTAAGAAAACGCCTGAAGCACTTCACACCAGGACTTCTGAATTAGGAAGGAATAAAAAGGCTGAGCAGCTGTCTGAGTTTACTGTCGCGACCACTGCTGTTCGTGGCAACTCGCAATTACAGAAGCGCTTCATTCAACACTGGCCGCATTGAGTGAACCTGTAGGGAGTACTATAATGATAGAGACCACGTCAGAATGAACCATAAGTTTTGCGTAATTAACGGCTAAGTGTGCACATAATTTTACATGGTGTCACACTAGCACTACGGTGGCATATTCTTTTTTTCTCAGAAAAGAGTGAAAGTCGCCAAATTCAATTAATGAAATCCCATGGACAGAATAAACTGGGATTTGTTAAGGTCAATAGTGGGTTTTTAGAAAGTGCTGTTATCGCAAAATCGATGAAGAATTCTATCGTCGACATCTTCATAGTATTGTCAACAAAAGAAGGAAACATCGAAAGTCATCAAGAGAATTCTGACTCGAGAAACACTCGAGCTGGTACGCCAAGGTGGAATGGCAACAAAGGCGATAAATGGAGATCTTAGAGTAAGAAGGGCGACAGTATTGGCTGGAGCTATAGAGTTCGGGAAAAACATCAAAAACACTAACGCCGGCAGAAATTTCGCCAATTACAAGACCAAGATGCTCCTATATCGACGTCAAAACGGAGTAACTACGGCTTCCAGAAGGGCAGTTGATAAAATCGTTCATGAACACTACTCTGATCTCTTCAACAGCCACGTCTTTTTGCCACCATATAAATTTGAAGAAGATAGATATTGCAGTAACTGCCACGACCGACTTTCTATTAACCTCGGCATTGACCAAGTAATTTTCTTCGTATTTTTGTTGAGCAAACGCGAGGTGTTATTGTTCTTCTTTATTCACGAATAAGCTGACGTTTCGGCGGATTTCGCCTTCCTCAGAGCCTGGAAAGGTCAAGTTGACAGCAATCTACTCGGCCAGATGCCTCCATAACCAAACAAAGAAACTCTAAACCAAGATTTCAATCACTTTGAACACAACTTTGCAAACTCACCGCTTCCTATGAGGTTTCCACTAAGTATGTCACGTAGAGACCAACCGCACAGAAATCACATGGAAGTATAATGTGCCCCTCACATCAGAATAGCAGTCTTATATACTGCTCTATATCACGCGTGTTAATGAGGCATTCTTCCCTGCGGTTCATTTTCGGATTTCTGGAATTAATCCAGAGTGCTAAATTGGAGAATGTAAAATAGGAGTTCAAGTTGAAGTTAGTTGAAGAGAAACAAGAGAATATGTAAGAAATACTGGCAGACGTCTGTGAAGAAAAGGAATTAATGATGTTTGTTTTACCTTTGTTCCATTTATTTTGATATTAATATTGCTGATTTTGAAGGCACGCTCATTCGACGGCGATTTGGTGGTGAATGCATCTGTAAGTTACCGCTAATAGCTGGTCATAGCGTCATTCCTAGCTCAACGGAGACCTGCTCCAAGTGTGGTAAGGAGCGTAAGGTTTTCGAAGACAGTGTTGAGTTTGGAGTTGGTCGATCTGAGGTGTGTGTTTATATCTAAACTCAATGTATATTTGAAAAAAGTGACTACAAAGGGAAGGTAGACACCGAGGTTGCTTGGTTTCTTATGCTCTTTTTGTTTCTAATTTTATACTATTCTCATTTGACCGGCTCTTCCGAGAAAAGATAGGTTACTGATTTCGGGACATTGATCCACAGGAGACTTAAACATAATTTTGAGTTTTGGGTTTTAAGAGGCGCAATTATCTGTCGGGACGATAAAACGGAATTTTAAAATTAAAACGAAGAGCAATCCATTTTTCATCATTGCCTGTATAGGCAGGTGAATATCACTTCTATTTAGTCGTCGAAGTTTCTTGGACAAGCCTGGTACCTGTACCTCACGCAAAGTATGGATAGAAAGTTATGTTGTGGGCAATTTACATTGCTTTAAGGGTCCTCGGTGGCATAGCATATTGCGATGAATATTGTTTTTCAACAGGAGCAAGGGTAGGTGTGACGCAGTGGTCGGAGGCGTCCTGCAGTACATATGGGATCGACTCCCGAGACCACAGCACAGCAAACCGTCCTTCCCTCCATGGTGGGCAAACTATGCCAGACTTGCTTGAGAGGAGATCAACACTGGTTCGATGGATCGGCAGGTCACCGCGAGTCATTGTAAAGGCCAGATATGCATTCAATCACCTCCAAACAATGCTCAATGAAGTCGAGTGCATGGGACATCTCTCAGGGATTGGTGAACTCCGAGAGCTCTATGTGCTATCGTTTAGATTTATTTACTGAATTTTTCTGTGCATAAATTCGTCAACAATGAAGCGCAACATGTTTAAGTAAAGCAATGTGTAATAAAAATCATCAGTGTGACTTTGTGAATTGTGTTCGATAACCTAGTTTTAAAGTAGTTCGAAATTCAGGTAGTTCGCGAAATCCGATTCCGAGTCGAGCAAGCGTCTGGACTAACATGTAGTGCAGGTGGGGAGTTTCGGATTGATTTCTAATGCATCTAGAAATGAATGTACCGCAATGTTCCATGGCTTTTATCCTCATACTCAGTAATTCATGTGTTGATTTAGGAATTGCTCCAAACTTCATGCTTGCAAAAATCTGCTCGGATATTAACAAACCGAATGGACAGTTCGAATTGGCGAATAGATATGAGGACGTGATGAAATTTTTGAGTGATCTACCGATTCGTAAGGTCTCACTTTGTGGTTGAAATTTGTTACAGAACGCGGACGTTTAAATTTTATAATCATTTCGAGAAATGAGGGGAAGTAATAACAGTAAGGCTTCATCTTTGTGCATTGTTTTTCCTTATTATGCTAAGATTTTTATTCTTGTTAATTTGTGTTTTTTTTGTTTTCATTTAACTCCTAATTGCATTCTTAATTCGTTTTTGCGTTTCCTCACAACTGTTCACCGCCTCATTGCGGTTGGAACGTGTTCCTGGGTGTTGGGTTGCAATGTACAGCGGGGGTTTCGTCCACACGGCAGGATCTCCCAAGCTGAGAAGGAGTCCGGCGTTTCCATTAGGAAGCTCAACTAAGAGTAAACCAATGCCAGTATCCACCACCGTCCTGGTATCAAACTAGTCGCATGATCGAAAATCTCTCTCTGATCTACAAGGGCGACGACCGCCTGTGGTGGTGACGATCTGGGGCAGACTGACCTCGGCACTCCAGCGAAACACAATGGCTAAGCGAGCATAACTTTAAATAATGGCGAATATGTTGGGACTCGCATAACCAGAGTTAGTGGGCCGTCTAAGTGTCGAAGTTTTTGCGTTTCTTTGAAATAGCTCGCCTTGTGTAGTAACCATTGTAAGAATGTGGCAGTAATTTATTGAAAGGGCTTGCAGGTTTATATTGGCTCTTAAGCTTTTTTTTAAGAAATCAGTTGTTTTCGCCTTTATTTATTTGACGTGTATTTGAAGACTGTTGTTTTCATATCGTTTTTGTCACAGTGCAAGTGAAACAGCTCGTTGGAGGACCGTTAAGAATTCGTACAACTGAGACTTTTTTGCTAGTTGTTTTCGAACTAGCAAATTATTAACAACGTTACGATGCAGATATCTGGGATCGGTAGAGTGTCGGAGGCTCTTCTTCAAGCATGTGGTGTGTCTACAGTTGGAGAACTTCTTGAAAGACGTGCTGCATTAAAATTCTGCTTTTCAGCTTTATCACAGGTAATGTTGCCTGCCATATCATTCTTACTTTTTTCCAGATGTGGCTCAAAGTAAATGTAGTATTGTAAATATGACATAATCGGCTCATGGACATGGGAAACATTTGCAGGAAACAGATTGCATTTTGCAGTTCAAAACCATGTCCACACTTTAGACGAAACGAACGTGTTACAGCAATGCACACGTTATTCGAGGATTTACAGCATAGAAATATTTTCAGTTTAGATTTAATCCGCATATTTATCTCTCAAGTATTCATGATGCAAGTAACTGCTCAAGATCTTCGACCTGCTACTATTGCAACTGCGAAGTGAAACATGATCGACGTTCTTTTTGAGCTATACTTCAGCGGTATTACCGCTCTCCCGTATGTAATTCTTGTTGATCCGAAACCATTGGGGATCCGAAGAATCACCGTACGGTGAACCATACCAGATGCGGTAGCGTGAAGGGTTTGCTATGCACGAGCAGTGATATTCAAAACGATGTATAAAAGCAGTGTACAGAAGAAGTAGCATTGGTCACATTTACTAAATTTTCACTAGACCGATTGTGCTAGGAGGACTCCATGATCTGTTGTTGGACTATCATTTGTGGTTCACTTTTATCTAAATGCGAAATCGTTAAGGATCATGTTTATAAAACAACCCCCTCGTGAGCTGTACCACTCCAATATCGTCTTATTTAGCGAGATGTGCGTCTGTTTTTCACAAAATGAGTTCTTTGAAGTATCCCTTTTGCCGAAGCCCATCGAGATGCCTTTTTATATTCTATCTTTTACTTCACTTCGCTAGACCTCGTCCTTTACGTTTATAAACAAAGTTTTTCGTTTATTGTGTGCTCCACTTTCGCGTTGATATATCTCACGACGACGTTGTAGGACTTTTCGAACAGAACAAAATCTTTGTGGTTTTTATGAAACGTGTCGAGTGCCTCAGCTACTAGCATTGCGGAATAAGAGGCGTCGACTAAGATTCTTCGTTTATTCATGGGATTCTTGAATGCAATTTGAAAGTAGTTGATAACATATGAGAAGGATTGCATGAAGGGTGCACAACTTCGTAACATGGATTGTTGTATACGACGTTGTTGTAGAATCCACAGTTTCCCGTCATGAATAAGGAATCTTATACAGGAGTCATTTTTGCGAATTGCATTGGGTCTACCTGGCCGTCCATCAACGTCTGACACGAGGAGAAAGAGCATCTCTGTTGAGAGAACGTTCACGCCTACGTCGGATCGTAGTGTTCTAAATGAGATCATGGAGGAAGTGGGTGGCATGCTGGTTAAGGATATGGCAGATGCTGGAGTAGTTGGTGAGTGCTTTCGTAAGCATTTTGCCATTAATTGGAAATGAATTAGAAGAATGAGAAGTTGGTTTATTTTATTCTCTTTCAAGAAGAGCACCGATTAATATGTCCAGTTATTTAATGTATCCTCGATAATACTGGTTTTTCGGCAACTCCCAAAGAGTTTGAAAGTTTATTGGCTTATACAAACGACTTTACTGAGTAATGAATTCCTCCAAACGCTTTACCGCCTCATCGTGGCTGGGAGGTGTTCCTGGGTGTCCGGCTACGATGTACAACGGCGATATACAGTCCATCTAACGGGATCTCATAAGCTGAGAAGGAATCCGGCGTTTCCATTAGGAAGCTTAGTTAAGAGTGAGCCAATGCCAGTATCCACCAACGTTCTGGTATCAAACTAGTCGCGTGGTGGCAAATCTCACTCAGATCCACACGGGCGTAACAAGTATACTTGGATACTTGGATGGCCCGTCCTCAGTGGTTGTGCGTGCCCTAGCATAATCTCCATTTTTCGGGGATTTGCTGGTTAAGCTATTATGATTCCGTGGAGTCCCGAGGTCAGCGTGGCAAAGTCCGTCCCAGGTCTTCTCCGCCACAGGCAGTCACAGTCCTTGTGGATCAGAGCGAGATTTGCCACCATGCGTCTTTGATACCAGGACGGCGTTGGATCCTGGTTTTGGTTTACTCCTAGCTGGGCTTCCTGATGGAAACGCCGGACTCCTTAGCTTGGGAGACCCTGCCAGGGGATGAATCCCCCGCTGTATATCGCAGTCCGACAGCCATGAACACCTCAGCCACGATGAAGCGGTAAACCATTAGGAGTGTATCATTAATATTATATTATTGCATTATTACATTACAGACTATATGTTATTTAATGTTAATATTCAGTAATGTTCAGTGCAGAATACTCAGTGTGTAATAGTAGTGTAATTTTTTTCAAGACTGGACGTGATCCTTTTTAACAATGTAAGAGAATAGAAGAGGTTGTGAACTGAATGGAAAGGTCCTGGCTTTCCTTGTTCGTGCTTGGCAGGTTTTTGGATATACAGACTGAACAAGAATGACGTTTAGGAGGCCGCTGTGTCACTCTCAAGCTGAGACTCTCCTCGTTTGACGTTTTAACTCGTTCCGTTACGCCAAAGCGATTGCTTTCAAGCCGTGACGGTGAGTAAGAAGTTTTAGAGGGTACCGAAATATTGTTTCTTCTCTAGATGTTAAGGACACATTTAACTCATTTGTCAATTATTTTCATTGAAATGCATTTTTTGGGCTTTCCTTTAAGGGACCTTCATTTTTATTTGCATATAAATTTGAATCCATTTTTTGTTTCAACTGCATCACTGTGTTTGCATTCCTCTGAGATCTGTAACGCTCGTTAGCCAATTAAATGTTATGATAGCACCAATCTGAAGTTCGTCTGCAGACATTCTGGTTGTTATGCGTGAAGTACTGGAACGTGAGTTGCCACGAGAAATCCGTCTGCTGGGAATACGACTGAGCAATCTGCAATTTGTGAATGACCGGCTCACAGATACTCCTGTTTCGGTGAATTTTTCTAGAATTGGCCATTTAGTGAATTGGTGAGCTGCTACTGAATATTAATTTATCTCAGGGGGATTAATTTATCTGAAACCCACTGCTATATTTGTTTTTTTCTGGGTTATGGTCTCAGCAACGCAGTGTTTGATTCTTGTCTTGTTTGGCTCTTGTGTAATATACCTCCAAATAATTGTGGGCGTCAAGCCATTTGGCGAATTATGCTCGTAAACGATATGAAGATGGAAATCAATGAAACACCTGCAGTGATTGACGTTTCTAAAAGCTAAATTGTTATAAAAAATACAAAGAATGATTTCTATCAAGGGCTGGTTAGGATCCACTACCACCTTCCTGCCTTTAATTTATTGACTTACTGGCTCAGTGAATATCAAATCGCTTTCTGTTACCAAGCAGATTTAAATTATCCTTCGCTGAAGTTTCTACGTTTAACTCCTCAACAGTGAAGAGATAGTAATCTAACGATTGGGGTATAGAAAAGGAGTTAGAGCACTTTTCTTTTACAAAATATCGAGGGAGTAAGTTATAAAATGCAATAACAGATCGAATTGTTGCAAAGAAATACTCATTTAGGTCCTAGATTTCTGGAAACGACGACAACACACGGAGCCTACCACCACTGGCATGTGCGAGGCCAGTTCATCTGTTTCCGATTTTTCCATGGAAGTGGTGGCAAGCTCGGATGTGTTGGTGTCTTGTCCTATATGCAACATCCATCTACAAAACGACGACAGAGTGGTGAATCGTCATGTGGATGAGTGCCTAAACAACTCGCTGCTCCTTGAATCAACTGGAATATCGTTTGAACCGAAGGAACCACCGCCGAAAAAACGAGGAAGAGCGGCCACAATTGAGAACTACTTTGCGAAGCGAGAACGAAATTGATGAATTTTGGTGCTTTGAAGGCTTCTGGAATGTGAGTTGTAACTACTTCACAAAGAACTGCGATAATGCTGACATATTTGCAAAACTTAGACCCCAATCCAGATTCTAATCCCCGGTTACAGTGAGGCTCTTGCTTTGCTTCCCTCTCATCCATTTTTTGCCCTAACAATGCCATTAGCAATCATTCACCAACGGGAAAGATTTGGAGAGCAGAAATCGGCAATTAAATTGGCTAACACGTAGTTGTGGTTGGAATCGTAATATTTAACGTTTTATTTACTGCCTGTTATTTCCTTATGGGAGGGTATTGTATGAAAGCTTGTGTTTTCAACAAACTGGTTGATAAGAACATAAAGCAAGGAGCACGATAGTTCAGTGTAAATGTGACCACAGAGGTAATCGCGTGTTAGAAGCTAGGCAGGGTTTCGCATTTTGTTCATATCTCAGCATTGTTGTTGTTATAGTGTTTTTCTTACCCTTCCCTCTAGGGAATATTAATCCGTTCTTATTCTCCTTGGCTATTAAGTGCCCTGTAATCAGTTTCGCCTGAATTATCTCTTTTGCTAGCCCAATCTTGTTCCTTCTGTACGTCCAGTCAAGTACGTTTGCCTTTCGAAGATTCTTATTAAGAGGAATACTTATGCAACAATTATCAGTATAGAGGTGTCTGTCTTCATCCAGTAAATCGTCCATGCGCGTCAATCCCATTCAATTTTGGGATCACTTTTATCATAACCCGTATTGTCGGGAAAATGCAAATCAGTCAAGATCTTTTCGAATCTATTCTGACCATTACATCTGATCCTATCGT